CCTGTTCTGAAAACTGTCTCTCTTCCCCAAGGAATTAGTTTCAGAACAGCTCTGACCCAGTCTCATTTTTATTCCTCTCTCTGCCACACAACCAATTTAGGTAATTGATGGCTTTTCTGAGGGTGACTACACAGTAGAACTGTTTTCATGTATTCAAAGCTTTTATGCTGCTTGAAGGGAGGAGGGCTACTGTTACGAACAGGGCAAGAGGCTGGTTTTTTCCAAGCCTCCATCTAGAGAACATCTCGCTGTTAGAATATCTGCTGTCTCTGCTTAGAGAAGGAATTTCACAAGTTAGCACAATCCAGTTGCTCTTCTTTCAGGCATCTCCGTACACACAGACAGGTAGTGCTCTATTACCCTTGATAAAAATGAGAGACTTAGTCTTAAAGGAATGAAATTCAAAGTTTAGCATTTTTATAAATGATAGTAGTAGAAACATGATACCTTCCAAATACTTAAGTCTTCTCTACACTTAAGTTTTGCTAGTCTTGTTATCATAGCAGCAAAACCCTCTCAGGGTAGATGTCACACTGTTCAAAGCACTTTTTTGCCAATGCCGTTTCATCAGTGAACTCATACAAGCCAAAACTCCAAAAGCAGGGTTTTGGCATAAATGCATCTCCACCAGGGCTTTGTTAGCATAGTGCTCCCCTGCACTGTTATGCTGCCAAAACAAGTATAGAGTTGGCGTTTATTCTTCTTCCTTTTAAATATGAAACCTCAAAGGACTCTCTCTACCTTGTCCCTCTGGATTACATCTAGCTGAATGATTCGGCTGTATTCTCTCCTCCACACATTCCCGTATCCTGCAGGTTACAGAGGGGAGGAGTGTCAGTATTGTTCACCTCCAGGAGGGTAAGGCTGATTGAGGCAGCGTGTAGACTTGGTGAGATGTAGCACTCTTGGCAATGAGAGGCAACATTGACATTGCTTTGAGCCTGGCTGTTTTGGTGCTGTGCTTCAGAGTGCAACTGAGGTATTACCAGAAAAGGGCTAGTCTGTTTTAACTGAAGCACAAGCCAATTTCTTCTGATCCAAGTAGTTCCCAGATCTCTCACAGGGTGGCTACTGAACATAGCATGTTGGAGCAGGTAACTAAAGCACTGTTGTAGTTGTAAGCAGTTGTTCTTGGTTTGCTGTCACATCTGCTAAGGTTAAGACAGAGACCTGTTGATTAGTTATATAGCTGGGTAATGATAACTACAGCAGCTTGATATACGTCATCTCCAAGAAAACTGAACGCTGGTTATATAGTTCCTGGCCACTTTTTCTTTCTAAAGGATTGTATGACTTTAACATACCTTCTATTTACAGTTAGCCTGTTCTAGGTCTCTTAGGCAGAGTGATTTGCTCCCTCATAGTTAGTAGCCTGAATTTGTACTGTAAAAGAAATGGGAGCTGTAGTTAAAATTTGTATCAGAAACTCCTCTTGATGTGCTGCAGGGAGGTGAGCTGGTGAGAGAGGAAGGGTGAGGGCCAGTGGCCATATGGACTGAGCAGGCTGGAAAGCTTGCATCATACTGCTGCTGCATGTTAGGGGTTTCCTCCTGGTTTTCCAGCTTCACAATAGTAAGCTCTCATTCAAACAATGAAAGGCTAAAAGTCTACTTGGACTACAAGACTGCCCCTTGAATAACAAACCAAGAAGCAAAATGCCATGTCCATGTATTAAGAGACTATCTTCCACTACATTTACAGAAATAAGATGGCAGTCACTTACCTTGCAGGAATATCAGGCTCTGGGGCTGGGCTGACTCGGTATGAAAAGATGTCCTGACACCTAGCAGTTGCTGATTACTCAAGGAACTGTTTTAAGTTGATTGTTCCTTTAATATGCAAGTGCAGCACACTATGGGGGGAGGGGGAAGAACGGGAACTGAAGCCTCTTGTGCCATTTGGTTTATAAAAGTGTTTCCAGAGCTTAATTGAAGGGGGTATGTACATTTTCCTCCCCAGTGGGACACCAGTGTAAAACCATAACCCCAGGTTGCACTTTAATAAATGGTACAGTTTTCCAAAAAAACCCCAACCTAGTGTGGACTATTCTTGCATTAATTTCCTAGAACATTATAGGCACCAAGGATGATAGCAGATAGCCGGAAAGGTGCTTCAGTAACCTGCATCTAATCACACCCCAGTTAATGTGCAGGCTTAAATAACAGACTATTTCATTTAGTTTCATTACTGCTAAAATGCATCCATTCATTCCTTGTTCCCTTTACCTGGTGCCTGAACAGCAGGGGGTCCTAGGAAAAATGTGATTTAGATTCATTCTACAGCCACCTTTCAGTGCCAGTAAATGGGGTGACTTCCCTTTGTAAAATTTGCCACTAGTTATTACCATAGATCTAAACCCTTTAAAAAAATGCAGGAACATAAAATAAGTTGAGGGAGTTGGGGATTCAGGACAGTGGTTTTAATAGTACCTTAAAAGCATGGTTTAAAGACAGACCCTTCTGCAAATTCAAACTCTGTTCCACAGCTATAGTTACAGCAGAGCTGACAATTTTATTTTTAAGTTAAAATTAAAGACAGTATTTACAGGCAGTGTAGAAGTTGTGGCCTAGCTTATGGAGAACTGCTTCAGGGTGAGACAGTGTCTTCCCAGTAAGCTAAGCAGAGATGCTTAACAGGATGAAAAAAAGCTCCAACCTCCTAGTTTCCCTCTCTTTACAGTAAGTGGCCACACATAAAGCTCAAGTCTGTTCTGCTCAAGTATATGCAGCTTAGTTCACTCCCTGATACAGTCCGACCATCTTACAACCTGCTTCTCCCTTGATTGGGAAGTTTGGTTTATCTGGGCACAAATCTGTGGGTAAAAGAGAAACACCAATTGCTCCAGCAGCAGTGAATATCTGCAAAAGCTTGTAACACGCAGGGGAGTAAAACATCAGGAAAAAACAGGGTCTGGGAAAGGCTTTGCAGCATAGCTGCTCACTCCCACCTCAAGTCAGCACGATGGAGCTACTTAGAGCCCAAATGATTGGCAATGCATTGGAAATGTGCTGAGACTTCACACATACATCCTCCCCTCACGCACAGGAGTTGGAGCTGAACCACACGTGAGCATGATGCCAACTGGCATTTTTTCCTGAGATATAAAGATCTGCACCTGCACTGAGTCTGTTGTAAAAAGCACTGTTTTTAATACTTGGTAAAAAGAAAGGGCAAGCACTAGTCTTACATGTCTCAGCAGAACAATCATGCAGCTAAAACTACTGGTGCTGCTTTGCTACGCTATGAAAGTCTAAAAACAGAATAATGGGTTTCTCAACAGCAATCACAAGGAGTGGTCCTTTTTGAACAAGTCCTTTAGAGTTCTAGGCTGTAACCCCCTCCAAGCCTGTGAGCGGCACCAACTTCTCTCTCATCCAGCTCTAGAGAAACAGAAACAAAACAGGGGTTTGGTTAGCAAGGACAAGAAGTCAGGACATTTCACTGAGAGGGTGCACACTGTCCTTCTCTAGGAGGGGTTGTACTTAGCCAGAGGAGGAGCAGGTCACAACAGTCAGCAGCAAGGGAGCTGAGAGATTTCAGAAAGACTGTGTCAAACCCTTTTTTGCTTTACCTCTTTGTGGAAAGGGCAGAGTTTAGGTTTAAGGCAGGCTCCCAATGCTTCATTGCTGTCTGTGATCTAGTTTTCCCTGCAACCCATTTTCATTATCCTAATGAAACAATTACAGTGCTTTAGTATGCTTCATACCAGTGCACCAGATTTCTGTTAGTCTGACAGCATATCTTTTTTCTTTTGCAGATCCCTAAAATTTTCAAATGGAGGTGTGGACCCCTTTGTATTTTATAAGTGTAGGTAAATAATAAGTGTAGGTATTCACTTACCTTTGATTGATCATACTAATCTTTCATGGACCCCTTAGATGCAGTCTGCAGACCCTGGAGGGGTGGGGGGTGTCTGTGGACCACAGGTTGAAAAACCACTGCTCTATGGGAGTTTCAAATGCCCGATGGAAGAACAAGCCCCCTCTTGAGTAGCAGCAGTTACACTGGGGACAGTCCTTTTGCCATTACAGCTCACACTGACCAAAGTACTCTTGCAGGCTAAGATGCCTCCTCTAGGCAGGTTTGGCAGTAGAGCGATAGTGCATTTTCAGGTCCCTCCCAGAGATGCTCCTTGGTAGATACAGTGCAAATCTGGGTAAGTCACAGTTCTATGCCTGGCATAGGAACCACCAGCAGTTAATGAGCAGGTGGGTCAGTAACCTACCTGCCTGGGAAATGTACTGGTAAGTTAGTGGCACTCCTCCAAGAGGACCTATTCTTTTAGGCCTTGGGCCAACCTCACAAGAGGACTGAGGACTGCAATGCCCAACTTCCCTTGGTCATGGAATCTGCTCCCATGACAAAGCAGTCCACCCCACAGCGCAGGAGCCATGGCTGGCAGCATGGTGAGTGGGGAGCTGCTTAAGGTAACAACAGGAAGTACTGGGCAGAGGGACCCTACTGTGAGCCACAAGGCCTGTATGTCTAAGGCTTCCCATTCCTGATTGCGTCTCACTCAGCCTTCTGAAATAGGTGGCTACATCACTGTTCTTGCCATGCTAAAGGCAGAGATTCCTCCTTTTATGCACGTTTACTTACTTTAAATGTTCATGCAATCAGGAACTAGTCCTCTCCCAGGTGAATGTCATTTTTTCCCCGCCCCTACAAGGCCAAGACTGCTGTATCACTTCCCCTGGTTCACTGTATTACCATGCAATGTAGAACAGCTTTCACAGAAGAGACTCAACTGAATGAACTCTACTGTGCTGGCTGCGGTCTCAGCCCCTTCCAGGGAGATGCGAGTTCAGATTCCTTCAAGCAGAGGAAACAACTGAATTGGGTCTTTCCCCTCTTGGGTGCATATGCTCACCAGGGAGCTACTGTATTAAAAAGCAACACCCCAGCCCTGGGCTCAGATAGCCTGACAGCTGAGCAGCAAGGTGTTCTAGGAAGACCACTAGGCTCCCAGGGAAGTTTCACTAGCAACACTAGGTATGTTTCTATAAACCTTAAGCGCTGGCAAGGTTGGGCTGCAACTGCATGGGCACTGGGGCTAAATTTTGGAGCCTTTTACAGCCCTTTGTGCATCTAGTCCCTTATGCTGTAGCTTTTCAGGGTAAGCAGGCAGGAGGTCAGAGACCTCAGCTGCACTTAAATGAGAGTTTAGTAAGTCTGCCTGGCCTGTACAGCAGGCCCAAGTCCTGGAAAGAGCACAGCAGGAGCCTTTACACCTATTAGCACCAACAGCAAAGGGGCTAGGGTACTTGCCCAGGGAATTGGAGACTCAAGTTCTAAGCCTGCTCCCCCAGAGGGAGTTTGCACCTACACCTTTCCAGCTTCTTAGCACAGTATTTCCACCAGCATGCCACAAGCTAGTGTAATGCAGGTCCTTTGCTGGGGGCTCTTTCTGAGCACTAGGCAGCCATGAGAGGGAGATACATGGAGTCAGGATGAGAACAAGCCATAGGCTGGGTCAATGAGAAGGATACTTCTCAGGAGGGAGCATATTCCTAGGGGGAGAGAGATTTTCCCCCCCACTGCATGGCCTCCAGCTATATTAGCCAACGCAAGGGGCAGTGACACAGCACTGGAGCACTCTGGGGATAATAACCTGCCCTGTGGCATGGGGGTTAAAGCGCCCTGCTGGGAAAGATGCTGTTTCAACCTCATTTTCTGCCTGTGTCAGCGCTAACAACAATAAAGGAAGAACTGAGTTGCTCTTCATGATTTGAGCAGCTCTCCTGTCTCCCTTCGCAGGAGACATGACATTCTCCCACCCATTCACTGCTAAGCAGCAGTGGGTGTAACAGAGCTGAACCATCAAAACACACAAACACCTAGGATGGGACTGTGTGTCAGCACTGAAGCTAAGCTCTTCACTGCCAGACAAACTGGTAGTAGAACAGGTGTCCGTCTGTTTGTACTTCCCCCTCACAGCCAAGTGCACTGTGCTGAAGTCTAATGAGATAGACCTGCAAATGGCTAATGGAGTCACCTCCTCCATACCAATTACCCATGCCTCTGGCTGTGGCTGGCTCAGTTGCCAACAGCACTAATAGCTCAGCAGACAGACTGCAGCCGTTGCCAGCTCCTGTGCCTATGCTGCAGTGGATAGACCCCCATGTTCTCTAGGTATGCAGCTGCTGTAAGAGCCATACTAGGTCACCCCCAGCCCTCCACCTGGCTAGGACCATTCCCTAAAGTCCTGTGCCCAGTTTGCTACTATCTTTGGGGGACTCTCCCATGGTTGGCGCAATGGTCCTTACCTGTCAGATCATGTTACGGATGTAGTCATGGAAGTACCGGTTCATGTAATTCACAGTGGTACTGAAGACCTGCTGTAGAAGGGATGGCATGTTGTTTGCTACTTTTTTGGCTAAAACCATTGCTAGCACCAGCTTGGTTCTCTCCTGGTCCATGTCTGAGGGGACGGATTTCAGGAGCTGTTCCACTGCCTGAGACAGACACCTTGTTATTTCCTGTACCAGGAGGAAGGAAGACTTGTGTCACAAGGGCACCAGTTTTCACATAGTCCAAGACAGCAACAAACATTCCCTGCTGTGCTGCTATCTCAATTCCCTTTGCAACACAGCCAGAACGGAGCAGGCTTTCAGCTTACCTAGAGTGAGAGGTTGCATCAACCCTAACAGAAACAAGCTGATTTGATGTTATCTTCCAACTCTTCTTGCTCAGCCACTGGTGTGCAGGGTTTGACCAGCCTCAAAGGGCCTGCAGGGTAAACCCCCACGCTGCCATAAGTTGCAGCAGAAAAGGGCTTGGGAAACTTCTCATCCCAGACACAAATGGCTGAGTAAGCCAAAGCCAATACACATGGTCCCAAGAGGACAATGGATCCCCATGGATGCAAACAGAAACTTGCAGCTTTAGCTCCTTCCAAGGAGGAGAAGGAGGGTCTAATGTCTCAAGAACAAGAGGAGAGCTTGGCTCTGCTGCAGCACCCAGCCCTGTAGTGTCACAGGGCTAACAAACGCCTGTCACTGGTTATACTGGTTAAACACAGGCTCAGCTATGCATGTGACAGGAGCAGCGGTACAGCCACTGCTGACCCTTGCCCAGGGTCCAATTTCCACCTGTTTCACATAGTACTACAAGCACTCAGTGCATCTGACAGTCATCCAGCAGAGCTGTAAAAGGAATCTGCTCAGGACCACATGCAGCACAGGAAGGGTTTCAAAATGGCTTTGCTGAGTACATTTAGAGGGACCCATGCCATTTTTATTAAGTGAAAAATTGCTTGGCACTAATTTACCTCACTGGAGAGATTTGCATTCAGGAACTGCTGCACAAGATTATCTACTGGTCCCGCCTCGATCTGGGCAGCCAGCCGGTCCCCAGTCTCAGCCAGCTGAGCGCCAATGATTCGGTAAATTTCCCCCGTCTCAGAACCTAAAGTCAAGATTTGAAGCAGGATTTAGTTCATATGCGGTTGTGCCCCAAATTAAGTTTGGTGTAAACAAGCGGATGCAAGAGACTGTTGCTGTCAGCTTCACACAGCGCCGCTCCACATCAGCTGTTGTACGCAGCATGTCAGCCGCCTCAGCAGTGATGGTACACGGCCACCTCTGGAGCAGAACACACTAGCTCTTTAACAGGGGAGGTATACCAGTGCCACACAACAGCTCTGAAGAAATGTCACACCACTTGGATGGCACTGCCAGAGAGTAGCACATAGCTATCAAACTGAAATTTGGCAGACTGGCTCAGAGGCACGAGCTTTTTCTCAGATGCAATATCACCTGCTAGGTAGTTTGTGTGCTATTCATAACACCTGACAGTAGGCTGTTGCCTACAAAAGTGCGTGTCTGAGCCAGTCAGTCTCAGGTGCTATGCTGCCCTGCCTTCAGACTAACATGGCTACCTACCTCTCAACAGAAATTTAGCCTAGACACAGCTTCTTATAAACTCATAGTCCCTGAAGGAAAAACAAAGTCCACATGATCTTTTATGACCTTAATCAGGCTTTTACCTCGCATCTCTTCTAGATGCAGCATCTTTGTCTCGCAAACTTTCCCCTGATGCTGCTCTGGGACATGAGCTCAAGGCTTATTACAAGGGCCGAGTGCTGCATACTGTAAGACCAAATTTTCTGAAAAGATGATCTGTCCAAGCAATGAGCCACAACCCAACCCTGCTCAGCATCCCAGTCTAAATAAAATTACAGCCCAAGGTGGCACCTTCATGGCACTTGGAGGGAGGGGGAAGGTCACTGCATCACAGCCCCCTGCTGTTACCATTCCTTATTTTTCCACCAGCCATTGCATATCGCTTCCCCGCCATACAAGCCTACCAAAAGTGGCCAGCTTCAGCCCCAGGAGTCCTTGCTTGGCAGGCCAGCTCCTGAAGTCCTTGTTCCTAAATTAGGAAACAGGTGCCAAATATCCAAACCAGTGGCACAGCTAGGGCAGAGCAAATAAAGCAAGGGCTGCAAGTGCTGACTCAGGAGAGGTTGGGCTGGGGGCAAAGAGTGGCTGCTGCTGGCTACCATGCAATCACAAATCACAAGCACTGGCAACCAGCCGTTGCCACTCCCCCGCCCCCGGTGTCCCAGGTGCTTGCCTGCATCCTTACACTGCTGATCCAGACACTTCCCAAGGCACAAAGAAAGGCTTAAGGGAGCACACCCCTTGCTTGAAGCAAGGCCACTGGCTTAGCCTGAGGCTCCATTTGAACATACCAGAAAGATGTGGAACAAAAAAAAAAAAAAAACCACCCAAGGCCTGTAATTAGTGCTCTAGAAATAAAAGGCAGAGGTGCCAAACACCAGCTGAGCAAACCCCATTTGTCCTCATCAAGAACAAAACAATTGCCAGTGGAGAAAACACTCTCTGGGTCAGTCTGCTACAGAAGAGACGAGCTGTGTGTATAAGGGCAAACGCACTGACCTGGCTCGCCATTTTGGAAATGGCCGCTACGGTTCCCATCTGTTTGAAGCTCTCCATCATCGGAAAAAGAATAGAAGCCTCTTCTATGGGACGCACACTCGGCTGCGTGTCTGCAGCTCAGAGTCTGCAGCTTCTCCTTGAAGGCGCAGTCCTGGGAGTTGTCCAGGAAGGAGTACAGGAGGAGGCTCTCCAGCTGGTTGAATCCATCGCTGCATGCGTGCTAGAAATAACCAGTCAGCGTTAGACCAATGGGCAAGGAGGCAATCTGGCTTGACACGAACACGGCTGCCTTGTGACCTCCTTCAGAAACTCTGACTAATGTTACCCAGTGAGACTGCAGAGTCACGTGGCAGCACTCCGACTGCCCTGGCTCCACACACTGATGGTGGAGGATCACAATCTAGGCAGCCCTGTGCGTTCTGGGCTGCAAAGATGACGTGCCTGGTTAGAGTGAACCATTAAAGATGAACCACATGTGCATACCCACATTCCCAAATCCAAGGTTAGCAGCCTCTTAGTGTGCGTATCAATTATGCAGTTTCTTGATATAAACAGACGCCCATTCAGTACAAGCAATGTTAAGGGAGGATTCTCGTGCCTGAAGAACAGACTCTGAAGTGGCAAGCCTCCCTGTTCATGCCACTATGTGAAGAGGCCCAGCCAAGTCAGTAATGACTGTGGCCGCTAGTTGGGACAGTGTCAGGCAGAACACTTTGAATATGACCTCACACATGTAGGCCTGTCCATCTTCACAGGGCAGGGAGCACTCTGCCTGCGCATATGGCCACAGGAGGGCATGGAAATGTAGTGCTTGAAAAGCTTAGCTACAACCAGGAGCTATGAAACAAGGGCACAGACATAGCTCCCCTCCTAATGTTTAAAAGCTAAATGCACTTTCTGCCTTATAATGACTAGTGATGCTGAATGCAAAAACTGAATTATCCAGAAAATAGGGATCAGTCAGCACTTTCTAAAATGAAGGCCCTTTAAATGGTCTCAGATGGGACCCCAGAGCTTAGGCGTCCTCAGAGGTGACTAGCGGCCTTGAGAAGTTGGCCGTGAGAGAGGCAAAGCCTGTATGGAACTGACCTTGTCCATGAGGGCTGCTGGGATGAGGTGGCTGCGTCACCCGTTGCTTTCTGCCCACAAGCTCTCTTCCTACAAGAGAAAAAAAGAGAATGCCGATGTGTCTGCAAGCCCCTCAGCTCAGACTGCGCCCCATCGGGCTGGCAACCTGGCCCCACTTTGAGTCTTCCTGGGATGTTCAGGCAGGCTTCCCCATTACTGTCTGACAGTAAGGCTGTGAACACCGGGCTGGTCCAGCACAGAGGCTCCTGCTTAGGGGTAAAGAGGGGTGAGCTGTGAGGATATAGCACCTCTATCCTCCTTGAGCCAAGGGCTCTGGCCTTCCTGTCACATGGATGTGCATGGGAGCAAAAGGAGCCTGCGAGCTGACAGATAATGGCTGTGATGAGAGCAAGGCCAGAGGTCTGTCCTCCTTAGCTATTTAAGAGCAAGCCTTGCCTCTTGGCTTCTCCATGTTGTCCAGCCCGTCACAAGGATAATTTTGGCAGCCTAGCACTAAGAAGAGCAGTTGCCATTAGTTCTGTGACACCTGTTTAACCTGATGCATTTTAAAATAAATCCACTGACCAATCTTGTGCCTGAAGCTCTCAATACACTGGCACACCACACACATGCATGCACACGAAAACACAGGCAAACAGAAAATAACCCAACAGAAGTTCCTGGCCTGGTTGAGAGCTAAGTTATTTGTGTCCTGCCGAAGGCCTCCAAGAACACCTAAACCGATGCTTCGTAGCACAGAGGAGCCACAGAGAATCTGCTAGGGGAAAACCAACCCACCACCTAGTATCCAGACACATGGAGAAAGGCAGTCTCCCACACACACCTACAGCTTCCCCTGCTGGAGCAAGAAGGGGATTTTAACATAAGTTAACATGGATAAATGGTGCCACAACTGAGAGCACCCTGGAGACTGAAGTCTTTTGCCCCAAGAGCAGACACTGCAGAGGTAGCAATGGTGTATGCTGACTTCCCAGTTCAGACAGTGCACATCTGATGCAACCTGGCTGGACCCCACTGTCAGGTGAGAAGGGAACCAAGTCTTTAACACCATTGGCTCCTTGCCCTTTTCATTGAAGGTGCTGCCTGGGACGGAGACGCACATTATCCTGGAATGGGAAGGGGGTGGAAGGAGGACACCAAGCAGTGATGAGAGGCTGAGTCTGGAGTCTGCCTTACTACAACAATCCCTCACCTACATGCCGTCCCATCAGAGCTGGCAAAGCGGTGACCAAAGCTCAGCGTTGTAGTGATTATGTGAGCAAAAGGAAGTGAAAGTAGAAACCAGTTAGTATCAAAATCAAAAGAAAGACCACAACAAGAGTCCCTTCAATTGAAGTTAGAATGAACCTTTAAAGATGAACCACACACACAGAGGCTAAAAAGTGGTGGGGGATCCCCAAGTGTGCACACAAACACTCTCACAGAAATACTCAAAACCACAGCTCTCTTGCACTGTTAAGTTAAATCAGGGGTATCAAAGCCTCCCCCAGACCCTGTGCTGGATCCAGACCACAAAGGCACCTCCCAGGCCAGATCCAAGGGGCCAGAAGCAACTGTAGGGGGCTGTGTTCAAGCAGCAGCATGGGGCCAGGGCTGGGTGGCAGCATGGCTCTCTGGCCAGATGACAGTGTAGAGCCAGGGGCATGCGATGGCACAGGGCTCTGGCTGGGCAGCATGGAGCAGGTGTCCAGAGGCATGCAAGGGGGAGGGGTGGGGGCTGCAATCGGGCAGCAGCAGGAGCCATTTGAAATGGCCACGTCTATCAGGGTTCAGGGACCCTGCACCTGAACACTGCAGCAGTGGCCCCTCCACCTTCCGGCTCCCACGAGCCCACTGGCAGGCCACACGGAATAGTTCCAAGGGCCAGATCCAGCCTGCGGGCCATATGTTTGACCCCCCTGCGCTAGATCACCCCTACCAAAAAGCCAAAAGGTGCTAGCTTACTTGAGGCAGTGTCTTTGGGAAGCTGTTTCCACCCGTGAGGTCCAGTTAAACCCTGAGACTAACTCAACTTGCTGTGCTAGCTCCTATCAAATCTACAGCCTGCTGCTTCATCTTCACCAGACCTTCACCTCACTTAAGGTAGGAAGCCGGCTCTCTCTGGTCATCAGCACAAAGCTGTGGCTGGCACATGCTTCCCACTGGAAATGGCCCTTCCCACTACCCCACAAGCATCAAGAGCACCAGAATAAAAGGAAGTGACTTGTATCCCCTTAGCAGTACCTCTTCTGCAATGTCTGCTATCCCTTCCTGGACTCCCACAAGATTTGTGTTGTATCAGCTGAGGGCACGGGGAGGGGAGGGTGCTGTGCAAAGGCAGCTTTCTAACATCCCACTTATCTTGGCACCCATGTCCATCGCAGCACCGTGACCTCAGGCTCTCAGTGCAGTGCAGTCCCTCACCACTTCCTATGCACATATATAAACCTTTTGCCACAAGACTGGTGTTTTCCACCCAGGCTGCCTGGCCCATGCTGGGCAACAGCCAGCATGCGTGCTGCCTCCATTCAGGCTGGTAATTCTCCCCTTCTGCAGTGTGAACCTGGGCCAAACCCCTGGGCCACTGCCATCCTTCAGCCCCTCCTACCCCACATGCCCAGGGGGGCAGACATCCCACAATGCACACCAAAAAAGATCAGAGCAGCTCACTGAACTGCGGCAGCAAGACTTGTGCAACGTTCCCTCAGGAGACCTGGTGGCACTGACAGCAAGTGCAGCACCAGCGCTGGTGCACTGGTGCATGGCTACACAGCACAGTTGCTTGCACGCAAGCAAGGCCCACCTCGGTGCTCAGATCCGCGTGTGCACCTCCCCAGTCAGGCCGCCCACAAGGAGGGAATTCCCGCACGTCAGTGAGGACAGCCAGGTGAGGACGAACCCCAGCTTGCTTGGAGCAACCGGCCTGACCTTCCACACAGTGCAGGACAGAACAATGCAGCGCCTCTCCCCAGAGGCTGCCACATATCCTGTATTTCTTAGGAAAGCCCCAGGCTTGATTTCACCAGTCCTGCTTGAAATTCGGGGAAAGCCTTCTGACTCAAGTGCAGGAGTCCTTCTCCTTCCACCCCACCCCCAGCCTGGCCTCCACTCCACCCTAGAGAGCTCAAAACATGAGTCTGAGCAGCGGTGGAGAGGGCAGGCGTGAGTAAACAAGTGAGGATACTCCCTACCCCCACTTCCCAGCACACACCAGTGAGTCACAGGAGCCAGGTTTGGGGAGAGAGCTCACTCCACTCTGCAGCCCAAACCATTAACCATGCTAGTCTGAAGTCAGGCAGAAGGCACCGCGCCTGAGACTGGTTCAGAGAGGCCTACGCTTTTGTAGATGACACCTACTCTGTCAAATGCTATGAACAGTGCACAAACTGGCAGGTGACATAAGAATTAGAAGCCCTACTAGCCAGAGGCTTACACTGGAAAGCCCTGGTAGAGCTGAGTGCCAGTGATAAATTTTAGAGGTCTCTGCTTAAACAACCAAGACTAAGTAACAGTTTAGGGCAGGGTTGTCAAACATGCAGCCTGCAGGCTGGATGCAGCTTGTGGAGCCACATGTTCTGACCCCAAGTGCCATGCCCAACCCTAGACCTGGTGCCACACACCTGGCCTGCAGCACTGGGCACTGGCTTTGGATCAGGCCATGCTGAAGTCAGCACATAGGGCCAGTCCAGCTGGGCGCCACATGCAGTGCGTGTCCATGCTGGCCCTGCACTGTGTGCAGCGTGCATGGCCAACCCAGCCCCACTTGTGCCATGCAACATGCACCAGTCTTGGGGCTTGCTATGCATGTGGCACATGGGGCCGGCACAGGGCATGCGCTGTGCACGGTGCGTGGGCTGGACCTGGCACTGCACACAGCGCAGGGGGTCTGGAACGTGAGCTACTGGCAGTGTCATGTCCAGTCCATGCCACAGACTCCATGTGTTGCATGTAACACTGGGTTCAACTGGCATGCCACGAGTAGCGTGCTCCCCACGTGCTTTGTGCACAGCAAGGTCGAGGCTGGCGCATGCTGCATGTGGCACACAGGCCAGACCTGGTGCCACAGATGCTGCACAGGGGATAAGTCTGGGTCCAGCCTGTAGACCAGCCTCAGTGGAGTGGGGGGTAACGATACCTCCTGTACTTTGTAAAGAACTCTGAGAAATGCTAGGTGGGAGGCGTGGTGTTCCCAGCAGTGTTGATGAACCTCGGGGTCAGATGAGTTTGACAATCCTGGCTCAGGGCAACCAGCCTGAGACACCAGGGCTGGGGCAGGCAGCATATTCAGAAAACTTGCTCTCTTATAAAGCACCTCTTCCGTCGGGCCCACAAAAAAAAATTAAAGGCAATGTAATATCCCCTTTCATTCCTGAACACTCAGAGCACCACACTGATGGCCAGAGCTGGAAGCTGCTGGAAAACTAGGATCCTCAAAATGCCTACTGGGAGATCATTCATTTTGCAGTCTGGGAGATCACGAATTTGGAGACTTTAAGATTATTCAATGCAGAAGATATAAATTAATTTCCAGCCTGATGTTCTATGACAAGGAAATGGAGACAAGCCACAGTAGAAGTGAACTGGGGGCAGGGCTAAAAGGAAAGCAAAAGTTCAAATTAATCCAATTGTAAAGAATGGTTGTCACATTTTCCAATTTGATCCGTATTTTAATATATTAAAACTAAATTTTGCTGAAATTATCACAACTCTATCTCCTGTGCTGTGACCTTATCACCCCATTGAGTTTCTTTGTGCATTCTTGTGTTACGGTAGCTAGGAAAGAACTCCACAGCTCTTTTATGTCAAATATTGTGAAACTGGATTACAACTGCAATGGAAGTAGTCACACTGGTGCAATCCATGCTCTTTATATGTTCTTGGTTCATCTAATGCTAACATCTTACCATGTTTCCCTCTCCATAAAATGCACACACTATAGAAAAGCCCCAGGGAACTCTTACAAAACCCTTAAAGAATCAGAATTTTGTATAAACGACATTCAGCCTCTCTACAGATTGCATGCAGAGGAACAGAAGCAAATTGCAGGTCACCAGGTGAGTCAGAGTTTACATGCATGTACTTAAAAGACACAGAATAGAAAAAAAATGTCTGTTCTCCACTGGAAGCACCCTCAATTCTTTTGAAGAAATGAGCTTAAACCAGGGTGGATTTAAATATATATTTATTAAAAATTGGATTTTTAATTTCAATCAGATTATTTAATCATATTTTTATTTTTTAAGATGCTTTTTAAAAAACACTTATATAAAAGATAGCTTTAATTTAAGATATGTTAAGACTCAAAGATATCATCATGGAATAGGGATTATAACTTCTAATTATATACTATTTGAGACTATATTTATGTAACCTTTTTAGAAGTTTTATAAATAAGTCACAGCAGGCCATAGACTATATTAGGGCCCCAATCTTATGGGGGTCCCAGAGGCTCCTCTATAGATTAGTAAAGATTAAAGAAAACCACTCTACCCAATGGGACTCAGTGCTCCATCTAGAAAATCCCATTAAGCATCTCTGTGATGCTTAGTCTCAGTTCTCAAACCATGGATTTGTGTCTCCAGAGATCACAGGCAGACAAGGTTCTTTGGGTAGATGTGATATATTTTATTAGACCAACTAAATATTTGGAAAAATTGTTCTTTGCGAGCTTTTGGGCACAAATGCCCTTCCTTCAACTGTAGGGAGAGTTTGTGGTCTCCAGAGATAACATCCTTGTTAACAGCGGTATATGAAGACGAGAAATAACAGACCTGATTACCTACCCATCAGCCCTCTCGTCTCTCTGCAAGTTTGTGTACATGCAGTCAAACCCTTACTTTTCTCTAAAAGTTCAAAGTTTCAAGAAATTACATGAATCAAGGATATCAAACAACAAGAATGCACTTTTTGTAGAGAAAAAACCCACCAATGCTTAAATCCAGGCTTCCTGACCAGTCATTTAAATCATGATCTAAATCAGTTTGATTTAAATCAAATCCACCCTGGCTTAAATCAGTCCGGAGTTTCAGACTGCACCCACAAGGCAGCCTTATGCATCTCTGTATGCGCAGCTTCTGCCCTCTGTTCACGTCATGATGGCGCCCCCCTGCACAATACAGACTGGATCCTCTACCATTAAGTCAACGGAAATCTCTGAGTGAGAATGAGATCAAACACAAACACCACAAGACCTCTTTCTTGCCCTGGCAAAGCTGGACATGCTGCTCTACAAGGCACTAGATATAGACGCAAGGCTATAAGGCCTGTGTCACCATCAGAAGCACTGGTAGTCAGCACCTGTAAGATCCTGGAGACCCTCACGGAAGGGTAATACAAATTCTGCAAACGCACAGCAGCAAACACTTACCTCCTCTCAGCACCAGTATGCAAAACTTCCTCAGCAAGAAGCAACGGGCAGCTTGCAGTCAGACCTCGTTTTAGCTGGCTCCCATAAATCTCTCCACACGTGTGCATGTGCACGCACCCACAAAGCACTTGCTCTCAGCAAGCGGAGACACCCCTTCCAACTCTACAACCTGCTGCTGCTTCCTCTGGCTAATTATGACTGCTTCCCTCCCAAACGCAGGCAAGGGCCAATCTCTGCTCTGCTTCCTAAAGCTTGAACCCTCCTCTCCTGGCCCCAGCCGTGGCTGCAGCTGCACAGGCATTTGAGTCTGACTCACGGCTGTGCATTGCCCCACAGACCAAGGGTTGAACAAATAGGACTGCTGCGTAATGCGGAGGAGGAACCACACATGCCGCTCACTGGGGCTAGGATGACGGAAAGTCACTCCACCACCACAACTTCTTCAAAAGGAAGAGGTGTCATCACTGTGCAGAGAGCAAAGACCAGCAGGCCCTCCCACTGGGTGCCCCAAGGGGCTGGCAGCTCTCTGAAGAGCCATTGTTTTAGCCTCAGTCATCATTGGGAATATCCATCCTCTCCAGCATTAGACACTCACAGGGCCATTTGCTTCACAGATGGGTCTCAGTTCTCAGAAATATAATCTAGACAGGAGCAACTTCCCATAAAGGAGTGCAGTACCAGTTAAGGGTGCTGCCTGCTTTTTGTTCCCTCTGTCAGGATGCTTATCTTCCTCCTGCCACATTCACTTCATGTGCCAAAGAGGTTTTTAAAGCTGAAAACTGAAACTGCAGATCAGTCATCTGCAAGGGGAAATACACAAGATGTACATCACTCTGTTTGCAACTGAAGGGTAACAGACGCAGCAAAAGTTTCTTCCCTCACAAGGCAGAAGTCATAAGCACTGCTGGGGACTTCCACTCAGCTCTCACCCTAGCACTTCTCCAAGCTCTTCACGCAGTAAAGGAAGCATCATCCCTGCTCCACTGATGGCGATGCTGGGGCACAGCAAAGGAAAGTGATTCATCCAAGGTCCCTTACGAGACAAGTGGCAGAATCAGGAGTAAAATCTGCATCTCCTGAGCCCTAGTCGCTGGACTTGACTGCTTTCCAGAAAGCACTTCTCGAGGGTGTACATACAGAAAGCAGTAAGTCACCAGAGAGAGGAGACGTGCAAGTAGACGGCAGCCATCCGTACTGACAAAATAACATCTCCTGGCACTCAAAGAGTGTAACAGCACCACAGAGCTGATAGTTCTAACCAACAGGACTGTGCTCCTGACACCCACACACACAGGGCTGCATCTTCACGAGCACCTTCAGTGCCACCTAACAGAGGCACAGGAGCCTTGTGATGCTTGGACTCAGGCTCATTCAAGGAGAGGTCCTGATGTCTTTGGCCATCTCACTGTAGACCACTTCCTCCAGCAAGATATGCAAACACGGCCACTAGAAACACCACCGTTTCAAACCTCTCTAATCAAGGATCAGCAGCAGCTCACCAGCACCAACAGAAACAAATGCAATCACTTCCTCTCTCCTATTAGCAGTTTCACTGCATAAACAGTGTTTCCTATACCCAACTTCCTCCCAACATGGGGAGCTCACAGGCACAAAGTCATGTGCCCCCGAACTCACTTGGTTCTCTGATCCAACCCTGTCACCTACCCCAGGGCTGGAGTATTCCAGCCTTGACTTCTCTGCCTCCCTGGGGTACAAAAATGAGCCTGAATTACGAGTTCTGTATGTGCTGTGATGTGAGCATTACCACCTAGGGATATTTGGTGGTGGTTTTTAAGAAAGCTATTTTTTTTAGGCCCCCAGCAAATGTTAAAGGCGCAATGGGATCTGATGTGGGAACAGTGCTTCTTGCCATGCCACATGTGCATGGCACGCTCCAGCTGGAAGCCCTGATCAGTTGTCAGCCCCCCCTGGCCTCTGGAGCACACAGGAGTCTTAAAAGTCTCCTGCGTGCTGCAGAGGCTAGCAGCATTGGGAGATGTGCCATGAAAGGTGTGATAGGATCCAGCCACAAAGTTATTACAAACATTTTGTGTAATAACTGTGGCTTATTCCTGGTTTTACCATGCCATTAACTGAATGAACATGTGGCTGGGTCTCCACTCAAGACATAATTAACCAGCTCATCACATCTTAAGCATAATGTCTGTCAGAGGTCCTAGTGACTTTGTGGTCTTCAGGAAAGGGCTTAGTCTGTTCAGTTTTAATGACCTCTCTTTCCCTTCACACGTTTACCTCCTTTGCACTTTTGGAAGGATTTTATTCCAGATGAGGCAAGTCACTGTATGGGGTTCTCTGGGTCCTCCTCAGTCTGCCAGGCCACATTTCCATTTCTTTTTAAATAATCCCACTTGGGAAAGGACTCTTTCCTGTCAGACTTTAGTTTCATTTACTCTGCAGGCCCTTTCCCCGTCTGCTCTGTAACACGTCAGCACATGAGAAAGAACATAGCAATTTAGCGGTCTTATTATGAACCCTCCTGGAAAAAAAAAAAAAAGGCTGGAGGCTTTCACAGCTGCAGTTTCTTACCAAAAAGGGCGGGGGGGGACGTACTTTACAGCCTCATTAAGAAACCACTACACAGATGCAGTTCTGCTTTTTTTGCTCAAATGACAAGGCAACAAAAAACACCTACCTGAACTGCTCCAAAGCCTGGGTCTACAGTTCTGGTTCAGGCAATTAGAGAGGACAGAGCCAGCTATGAAGTTAAGATATTGATTTGCATTTCCACAGAGCACAAGCTTCCTCACATCTGGAACTCAGGGCTGGCCAGCAGCAAAGCTGAGATATGGTCTTCCTCAAACCTCACAACCATTTTGTTCTAAGGTTGAGTTTGGTGCTCTCTGTTGGGTAGCAGAATAACTGCACAGCCGGCCACACAGCTAGAGATCAGATGCAAGCCAATCCAACAGCTTGCCCACACAGAAGTATGCAAAACTCCCATCTATTTCTGAGGGAGCCATATCTTGGGCCTTTTGACTCAAGAACAAAACCTGATGGCAAGGTTTCCCCCTCCTTCCTCTCCCATTCCACCCTAGAGGAGAGAGCTAAGAGCGTCTGTTGAGCTAATTTGAGACCTATTGACCATGTTCCCATTGCTGCTATTAAAGGGATGACTGCTCAAGAGATTTCTTCCTCACAGCACAGCTTCTCCAGAGTCACTCTACAGTGATGATATTGAGGTATAGTCAACCCTGGTTGCAAATTTACACCATGGCCTATATACAATCCGAGGATGAAAATGACTACAAAAAGCAAAAAAATATGACCTCATAACATCACAGTAGGAAGAAAAAACAAACTGGGAGAGAAAAGTGGAGCAGCTCAGTAACTTTGGCCATGAGCAAACACAGGATGAAAGTCTGACAGTCATAAATGATGAACAAACTGGGGTTTAAAAAGAGAAAAGCACAAAGGTCTCACTTAGATTAGAATCCACAGTGAAGCCACAGATAGCGAGTACCCAACTGAGTACCACAGGCTACAGCACAGACATGAGCCAAGACTGTCAGTTCCTTGCAAGTGATAATTCACCGATTAAAGTGACATGGATCAACTACCAAGAGACACAGAAAGTGATCATGCATAAAAATTGGAGCTAAGAGACTCAAGTCCGGTCATCCATTCGTAGGCTCTGCAGGAGCAGCAGGTTCAGCCCTGGGGATGGAGAGGACAGCACCCGAGACCACTTTACAATAATCTGATTTCAGGTATAGCATTGACAAGCTCCTGACAGCTGCTGTCTGGGCCAGGGCCTATGACAAGCTCTAGGAGCTTGATCATGGATAGCTGCTATGCTCATGACAGGCCTTGCCAACCTGTGGTTTCCCCAACATGTATATCCAGAACAGTTCCCCATGTCACTCTAGTCTCCTGGAGGCACGTACTCCAAGATAGATAATCATTGGTTCTACTCCACACCACAGCTTATAGCCATCCACTGGGCACAGGCCAACAGTCAGGGATGAAATATGAAGCCAAGGTTCCTCTCCCCTGACTCCAATGAGTTACAGACCCTCAGACACTGATCATAACCCATGGTGCAACAGCCAGACTGTCTAGGGCACTATTCCACCATTCTTGTCAGCTGCACCCATCTTAGGTTGCCCTCAGATCACAGCACATCAGGACAAGAATTCCTGTCCTGGACTCGTACAACGATGCCAGGAATACTTTCTAAAAGAACAACGACAGAAGGAGTCTAGTATACTTATATGACAATCAAACATTTAAATGCTGGGCCAATATGAATCATTCAAAGCACATATATGCACATGTCATTTGTCAATGGAGGATGGGACGAGTGGCACTCATGAGAGAGGTGTTCCTACCGGTGCTTCTGTACACCCCCACTGGTCTTCTTCCCCTCAGAGCAAATTGTCCACAAAATCCAGAGGGCCATGTGCATCTTCTTTTGGGGCTCCAGATAGGAGACAGTGAAGAGGAAAACCTTGTACTACATGAAATGTATAGGAGGCCTAGGAATGCCGGATATACTGCTTTTCCACTGGGCTAAATCTGCAAACTGGCAACTGGAACAGGGGCTAAAACATCCTGCTTCATGGAGTATTTTGCAGGTCACATGCTGACATTGGGGGATACATGTACTGCTGCACATGAACTTACCTACCTGGGAACCACCATGGCTCACAGAGCCCTGAAGCAGTTCCGCAGCAAGTACAAACTACAGGAAGAAATCCCAACGACCCTAATGAACCACTGCAAAATGCAGGTGGTGCTGAGGAAACAGGATGCGGTGTCAACCACAGACCTTCTCCCCAAAGACAGCTGCCAGGCCACATGGAAGAGGATCTTCCACAAGGAGCTGCAGAAAGAGCACAGACAAACTGGCAAGTAGCCTACCACGTACTCCCGGTGCAGGCGTAGCATTACATACAGGGGCAGAGAAAGCAAATATAATGCCCTAGGGAAACCTGCCCATAGAAAGCAGAGACAAATCGACCACCTCCTGTGGTACTGTCCTTTTGCCAAGGGGTTTGGAGGAAAGTGTTTATACTCAAGATGGTGACAAGGAATCACAAACCCTAACCAGAAAAGTGGCACTGTTTGGACACCTGTGCAAGCAGAAGGGGACCCCAATGGCCCACTGTGACCAATTCATTTTCTGCTTTAGAAATGCCTTATGGAAGGCTAGGAGCCTGCTCCTCTAAGTGTGTACGGACTCCTCAATAGAGGATTGTGTCAAGATGGGACTGAATGAGATGCAAGGGTACTACAAGGAAGCAGTGAAAGATGTCAGCAAGGAAATGAACGGGATCATCTGGAAGAGGATGGACTGGCACAGACCAGTTCAGGGGTGGGATCCCTGAAGACAGAGGTGACGATGATGGCGATGACAACAGTGAGAGAGAAGCAATGACAGAGATGACTGAAAGACCTGGGAAAGAAGTAGACAAGGGCGGGGGGGCAGGGTAAGCTTAGGGTGTAGGGAAGGTTGTACGTCTGTCAT